TTACTGCCAGTACAGTTTGGTTTATTGGTCGAGAACATATTTTATTTTGGTTTGGTTGGTGTCTGTGTTTCTTTCTTAGACTTGCACTACTATATTTAGATTCTGCATAAACATTTGAAAATCAATAGCCTAGATTTCATAGTACTATACCTAGTTACTTACTTGTTGACAAAGTATGTTGTTTGTAATCCTGGTAATTTTAGGGGCAAAGTAGAAAAGGCTTTTTGCAGGATTAAAGTATGCTTTTTGTAATCCAGTTAGAATGCTTTTAATACAATTAAACATGTCTATATTTTGTAGAATGTATTCCAGTGTTGAAATCAGAATTCACCATGGTGGAAATTTTGTCAAAGAACCTAGGATGGAGTATATAGGTGGTGAGGTGGAAATAGTGACAATGGACCCTGATTATTTATCATATCCTCACTTGTTGAAATTTATTAAGGAGGAGAGGTATGGTAAAATATTGTCACTGTCATTTAAACTACTACATGAGAGTTTAAAGAGCCTCCAATTGTTGAATAATGATAAAAGTACATTGCACATGAGTTACTTGGGTCAACATTGGGGTGCAATTGACTTGTATGTTGATCATGGGATAGATGAGGCAGATGTTGTTCCAAATTTAGCATTACCAGAACCTGAGCATGCAGATCATATTCAAGAAGATGACCCAGATGATGAAGAAGCTAGTTTGGAAAGCAATCATGAAGATGGAGATTCTGATTTGGAAAGAAGTCCTCAAGATGGAGCTGATTTCGTTGATGTTGAGTGCCAAAATGCAGAAAATAATAATGAGGACATTGGAAAGGCTAGGGCAGAAGGTGAGACTCAAAATGTGGGTGAGAAGGATGATGTGCAAAGTCAGTATTATGACTCTGATGACCCATTGAGTTATCAATCTGAAAAAGAAGAGGCACAAGCATCATTTGAGCAGACTAGTGCAGCAACAAGTAGATTTAAATACCCTTCCTACAATCCAAATGTTGAGTCAGTTGAGCTTGAAGTTGGTACCCTATATGATGATGCAAAACAGTTTAGAAAGGCAATGATCAATTATGCTGTTTACTCAAAGAGAAATATCCACTTTGTGAGGAATGAGCCACATCGTGTGTCCCTTGCATGTGACCATCCTTGTCCATTTCAAGCTCATGGGTCATGGGATGACACTTTTAAGTGTTTTCAACTTAAAACAGTGACTACGGAGCATATGTGCAATCTAAAGTACAGCTTAAGATTAGTAAGTCAATCGTGGATAGAGGAGCGATATGAAGATAAGATAAGAGACAACCCTTCAATTGGACAAACAGAATTGAAAAAACACATCCAATCTGAACTAAAACTGAATGTGGGAATCTGCATGGTAAAGAGGGCAATCAAAGCTGTATTGAAGATAATTGATGCTGGTTTTCAAGATCAATTTCGTAGAATAAGGGATTATGCTGATGAATGTATCAATTCTAATCCCGGCACCAAAGCTTTTGTAAAAACCAATAAAATAACACCCGAATGCCCTTCTGTTTTTCAGAGATTCTATGTTTGTTTTGCAGCTTTAAAGAAAGGGTTTTTAGAAGGATGTAGAAAAGTAATTGGGTTGGATGGATGTTTTTTGAAGGGAATGTTGAAAGGTGAAATACTGAGTGCAGTTGGTAGAGATGCTAACAACCAAATGTATCCTATAGCCTGGGGGATTGTAGAGATAGAAAACACTGATTCTTGGGGTTGGTTTCTTGGGCAATTGAAGTCAAATTTGGGCATCACTGATACTTCCCCTTGGACTATAATTAGTGACCAACAAAAGGTAAAGACTAAATCAATACAAAACCACTTGTAACACTTTATTTTAGCTTTGGATTATACTTATTTTGTTTGTTATATTTTGTAGGGATTAACACATGTAATTAAAGAGTTGTTTCCTGACGCTGAGCACCGTAACTGTGCAAGACACGTGCACGCCAATTGGAGTAAGTTACATAGAGGCAAAGTGTTAAAAAAACACTTTTGGATGTGTGCAAAAGCTACTAATGAACCTGAATTCGAAGAACAAATGAAATGTTTAGGAAAGATAGACCCTACAGCAAAAGTTGACTTAGAAAGGTGATTTATAATTTGTGTTTTAGATGTGCAAAATCTGACTTTGAAGTGTGCAGAAATCGATTTATAACTTGTGTTTTAGATGTGCAAAATCTGACTTTGAAGTGTGCAGAAACTGATTTATAACTTGTGTTTTAGATATGCAAAATCTGACTTTGAAGTGTGTAGAAACTGATTTATAACTTGTGTTTTAGATGTGCAAAATCTGACTTTGAAGTGTGCAGAAACTGATTTATAACTTGTGTTTTAGATGCACAATCTGAATTATAATATGTGTTTTGAAGGTACCCTCCAAGATTTTGGTGCAAGGCTTTCTTTAGAACAACTGTCAAGTGTGATGCTGTGGATAACAATCTCAGTGAGGCTTTTAATAGCACCTTAGTCAAAGCAAGAGTCAAGCCTGTTATCCCTATGTTGGAAGATATAAGAGTAGGGGTGATGCGGAGGATTGCAAAAAAAATTAAATCGGTGGAAAGATGGACTGGAAATTATGGACCATTGATCATGAAGAAGTTGGATACAAATATACATGAAAGTATGGGGTGGAAGGTACTTTCAGTTGAGCAGATGAATATGTGCTTAATATAATGCTGAATTTAATTTCTGTTGAATATATGCGCTAGGTTGATTTCAATGGAGATGATGGCTATGAAATTAAGAAAGGGAGACAGCAATTCAAGGTCAAACTTGCAGCTAGAAGTTGCTCATGTAGGGCATGGGATCTTTCTGGTATACCATGCCCACATGCAATATGCGCCATCTTTGACATTGGAAGGGAACCTCATGAGTACATTGACTCATGCTATTCAAAAGAGGCATATCTAAGGACCTACGCCCATGCACTTCAACCAATGAATGGAGAGCTATTCTGGCCAAGGACACAAATTGAGGAAATACTTGCTCCAATTCCTAAAAAAATGACGGGAAGACCAAAGAGAAAAAGAACACGTGAGGCAAGTGAAGGTCCATCTCGTCCTAAGAAAAATACATCAACTACCGATAAGACCACCTCTACCTCTGCAAAGAAAAGAGTCTCAAAGAAGGGAAAAGAGATGCATTGTTCTCTTTGTAAGAACTCGGGCCATTATAAACCAAAATGTCCTAATAGGAATGTAAGTACTCCAACTACTGCCATGTTATAGTTGTAATTGTTATTATATTAATTGTTTATACTCTTTTCCTTTGTTGTAGCTTGGTCAATCACAGGAGCAAGTCATTCACCCTAGATCAAACTCAAGCAATCAAGCTTCTCAAGCCTCAATGAACCAATGAACTGATTTTGGTGTTGACAGCTTGTAAGATACATTGAAACTAAAATGTAAATGCAGTGGCAGTTTGGTATTATCTTTTGGCAGCTTGTATTTCTTTTTGGTGTTGACAGCTTGTAAGATACATTGAAACTAAAATGTAAATGCAGTGGCAGTTTGGTGTTATCTTTTGGCAGCTTGTATTTCTTTTTTGTATATGTGTGTGTGGTATATACACATACACACAAACCACAAATTTTATCTCTTTTTTCTGGATTGTATCTATTTTGAAGAACACTTTAAAGTGGTCACTTCTTGTACATTCTTTATTAGATACTCAACTAAAACAAGTTTAAACTACAACATCAATTTGACAACAAAAAAAAATACAAACTTCATTGGAGTAACTAGCAACGTACATCCATATGACAACACAAATAAACCAAATTAATATATTACTAAACTACGGCAAAGGCATCATAGAACCATAAGGATTTAACCTTTGTTGCAAACTTACAAACATAGTTATTCCTACAACAATAATAAAACCAATTATTATGTTTCTTGGTCTTTTTTTTCTTTCAACTTCAGCTTCAAAATCTTTCTTAACATCACTTCGCAATTGTCGGATTTTTTCCAGAATTTCAGACTTCATCTTTTTCAACTCTATTCCAACATTCTTATTCCAATCAGAGTCAACCTCATCATCTTTCCATAGAGCATTTTTCCAGATAAAAAATCCACATCCCCCTTCCTGGACAAATACGATTAAACAAAAAATTCATAACATTTTTAAACCTTAAATGCAATACATATTATACACTTATCAATAACATTTTTAAACGTTAAATGCAATACATGTACCTTCCACCTTTGACACCCAAAAAATTGTTGCTCATTCTCTCGTGATACACATAGTGGTGATTTCAACCCACAACGGCAATACAATGGTGGTTCATACTGTAGATTTGGTCTCGCCTTTGAGGGAGACGAAAATGGTGAACCACTCCAACCTGATGATGTCATCTCCAATGGTGAAATGCGAAGTAGAAGCCTAAGCACTGTACTGGGTCAGATGGCGTAGAAGAAAGAAGAAAGAGATTTCGAAGAAAGAAGAAGAGAAGATTTTGAAGAAGAAGTGAAGAAAGATTAAGAGAAGATTTCGACGTGAGATTTAGGGCTGTAGAAGAAAGAAGAAACAGAAGATTTCGACATGGGTTATTTAATTTTATTTTGTTAATTTATGCTGATGTGGAGAATCCAAAAAACATAGAATAAAGCTTATGTGGCGCCACATACTCAATTACCGGCTCTTACCTGTGGAGTTACCGGTTAATGGGGCCAAGCGACTCAAAATTGTGTCTTTATGTGTTCAATTGACCTTTTCAAAAGTTTGTGGGGTTAATTGACCTTTAGCGATATGTTTAGGGGTCTATTTAACACATTTTCTCTAAAAGTTAAAACCAATTCTCAGAATTTTCTTACTATACGATTTTGTTCGAAGTTAACTTTATTTTGTAGAGCAGAATAACAATTCCGTTGTCGTCCAGCGGTTAGGATATCTGGCTTTCACCCAGGAGACCCGGGTTCGATTCCCGGCAACGGAATACTTTTTAAATTTTTTTCTCCAAGATTTCATGACAGAAAAGTGAATTGCAATGGTATCAAGGAAACAACAATGGTGACATTATTCATAGGATCAGACTTATTCTGCTGGACAACAACAAGATTCTATATTTCTAACAACCCATAATTCCATAAACTGCTTTTTTTCTCCACAAATGATCAGATCAAACTGTTCCGATCCGGGCACGTGAGATGAGATTACTGAACCTCAAGAATCTCCGGCGTGGCGTGGAGTTCTATCACCAGCTGCGCAATTCTGTCACCAACTTTCACTTGAAAATCAGTATCAGAAAGGTTGAACAATATCACAAAAACAGGATTCTTGTCCAGATCCACCACTCCACCCCCAACCTCAATCGAGTTATGCCACGACAGACTCGACCTTGCAGCTGTAATACGTGTGAAAGATCGACATACAACATGTAAAACCGTTATCAGTTCTCGAAAGTATATAATGGGTAAACTCTGCTTTTGTGATCATACAGTCCGTAAATGACCAAAAGAGATAAATCAGCATTAAACTGGTTGCCTATAGCTGATCAGTTCAAACCAAGAAAGTTAATAAGCCGTTCTAACTTATAATATAAACAATGAGACATCATATGTGGATTACATGTGACCATAGCCCGTAAAGGACCAAAGGAGATAAACCAGCATTGGACTGATTGCCTGCCTATAACTGATCAGCTCAAACCAATAAGGTTAATAAGCCGTTCTGACTTATAATATAAACAATGAGACATCATATGTGTGGATTACATGTACTTACCAATGCGGCCGTAGGTTCCTGGAGGTATGTCTATGCTTAGGTCTGTTGGAACCATGGCCTTGCCTCTGGCTGGCACTGTTGTCTCTACTGCACTAAACACACCAAATAATGGGTTTAATCAAGTTAGGGGTACTAGGATAAGTACATAAATGTCACAAGCATAGTGTTTATAGAAGTCAAATAATATGCGATCAGGGGTAACCTCAGCCAAGATGACTAAAGATACAAACTTGTAAATTCAAATCCCAACTCACTACAAGATTTACCCGTGCACGCCCTCAAGTGATGACTGCAGGTTTCCAACTTAATATATACCGATCAAACAACTTACTAAACTGTGATAAGATCACAGCCAACGACTTACTAAATTGCTGGAAATTATGAAATTTCCGACCACCTGAAAGTGATCTTAATTAAATCAAGTTGAAAATCTTGTTCCGACCACTTTTGGTATCCGGAAAAACCTTTGTTGCTATTTCTGACCACTTTTTTCTTTCGACTTGATTTAAGATCACTTTCAGGTGGTCGGAAATTCCATAATTTCCAGCAGTAAACTGGGATAAGATCACAGCCAAAAAACAGACAGCCTAGATTGATATGCTCACCTGGAAAGATCATAGCCTGCAGAATGAGGAAAACATCTCTCAGGCAAAGTGGCATTCTCAGACAGCCTCTTCACTTTCAGAGTTGGAATAAATTTGTTGATGGCTTCAACCAGATTATTAGAGTTGTTCTCTTCAGCCATTATTTCAGTGCCTCAATTCACAGTACCCAAAAAGCCTAATCTGGAGATCAGAGGGTCAATGCTCAATCCAATTCATTTCTCTAATTTATTATCTATCAAAGTTTTGGCCTTTTCTCATTCTATGGGGCACGGCTGGGTTGTTGGGTCATTGTTTAGTGTTACTTGGATGACTTTAGTGTTTTGTCTTTGTTTATGCATTCATTATATTTGAGGATTAAACAATATAGGTAGAGAAAACAATTGTTGGTATAATTTGCTATCAACCTTTAATTAATTTTCATGTTAATCCATTAAATTCATGTTGATGACACACCTAAAAGTCAAATCTATAATCAACACGAAGCTTACATATAATCAAGATATGGTTAAATGTCTTGGTAATGCCTTCCAAACATAGAATAACCAATTCTACTAATTCAAGTAAGCAAGTACAAAAAAAAAAAAAAAAAAAAAAAAAAAAAAAAAAAAAAAAAAGTCAATAAGTACTCCGTATTAATTGAAGTATAAATTACATATTGTTGAAAAATGGGGAGATGCTTTAGGGACCATTGTGTAACGTGGTGTAGAAGTATAATATAAGTGATTAAATTGAGATTGAAAGGTTCAAATTATGTAGTTACTGTCCTTATTTGAAAAATACTTAAATTATCATCAAACACAGCATTTTACATGTCAGAAAAATCAAACACCTCCCCCTCCAAAATTGAAGTAAAATAATGTTACGTGGGCAAAACAAATTGCGGTTCTGTTTTACTTCTCATAACTGTGCATATCTCAAATATTCTATTGATGTCTCAACACTTCTTTACAAGTATTCAAACGATTCCACAAACGATCTTAAGGTAAGACGCCATGACAAAAACATTTCTTTAAGACAAGTTAAATTACATGATGAATGGTGAAGCAACTATAGTACCATTCATGTATCTATTCATTTTAATTTGTCACTTTTAAAACGTGTAAATAATTGTATTCATGAATTAACACTATTACTCTTGTACAATGACAAGTAAAAAGAGAGATGCTAAAGAGCTCAAGCACATGAGTGCTGTCCTCAAAGGCCAAAGAAAATGACACAACAAAATATTGTTAGTTTATTCTATTTTGTTATTGGGTACTATAAATATTTAACTCGCTTTTAAGATTTTGCAACTAATATTTTATGAGTACTATTGACTCATATATATTGAGTTTACTAAACTTCAAACCTATAATCTCTCATATGTGATAGCAACTTGGTGATGTTCGACTACAAGGTCTTTGACTTGTAAGTAATATTTAATTATAATATATAATATATAATATATAATATAATCACTATTTAGACTTAAAGATAGAAGCTTTTAAAAAATTAAACAAACTAAAATAGTTTGCGACAAATAATAATCACCAAGACTTTGTTTTACATCATTGCAGCACGCAATAAAGAGTTTTCAGCCTTGAATAAGTAGTGTGTCGAGTAGGTGGAGTATGACTATTGTACCAAAATGTTATAAGTTTGATTTTTGTCTGCACCATTTTAATTGGAGTATTGGGCCCACATCATAAGGTTTTTTATAATGCAATTTACATATCTTATGTGATTTGTAAGTTATTACGCATGAAAAGGGTTTACATAATACACATCATCGAATAGTAGTTACTAATTTACTTAGTCACTAAAGAAAGAAAAAAAAGAGTTTATAGTAACATATTTTACAACTTCTAAAATCTAGAACTATATTTATATCACTTCAAACTTATGTATTTTTCTCATGTAAGACAAAGACTTATACAAAACCTTTCAAATCTCAACTTTTTTCCCCAATTAATTTAATGGGTATACTTTAAAAATTAATTTATTATTTATTCATTATCCATTTTAAGTATATAAATATACGAAATACATGTCTTCGTATAGAAGAACGCGAATTTACTTTAACTCAACTTAAATCAGTAATGGACCCTACTCAAATTAATAAATCAAAATGGTCACTCACATATCAATTTCATGCCAATTCTTTAATAGGATTGAAGTTTGTTTTCACATGATTGGATTAGACTTATTATGCTAGCCTCGTATCCAACATTAATTTTTTTTGGGGAAAAGAGTTAAATACATCATCAAACTTTATATGAGAAGTTAATTTGATTCACAAATTTTTGAAAGTTGCAATTAGACATATTAACATATTAATTTAATGCATCAAAGCTCAAAAACCAGTTAGTGACCTACAATAGCAAGTCACGAGTGCGTCGGTGGAGCTTCGGTGATGTTCCGACGACCTTCGGGAAAAAATTGGTGACAGAGCGATCACCCGAGCTCCGTCGATGCACTAGTGACTATCTATTGTAGGTCACTAATTGATTTTTGAGCCTTAATACACTAAATTAATATATTAATGTATTTAATTACAAATTTCAAAAGTTCAAGGGTCTAATTTATTTATCATAAAAAAAATTATCTAATTAAAATTAAAATGACATATATATCAAAATAAAGGTGATATCTCAGTATTCGAACACAAAAATGTTCTTAACAAAAGGAAAAAAAATCATACTAAAAAACCAACCAATAGAAAAAAGACACATCAGTCAGTTCCACACTGACATCTTCCCTATCGGCCCAGCCACCTTAACCTGCGCCTAACGTGGCGTATCGTATACCCAAAACCGATAACAACAATCACACCCATCTACAACACTCCGCGCGTCCATACACGCCACACCTCTACGAGTGCAAAAAGGACGTCACGACATTCAGCAGCGCGTGGAAAAATCTACCCATAACGCTAACGTGCGCCGAAAGCCTCTCAATGCTAACCTACACGAATCCCTCTTCGATTATCCTCACCCCGCTGTTGCCCTATATTCTCACCATTAAGCATCCGCTCTCAGTCTCTTCACACCTTCAAGCAGTCGCCGAAAAAAGGGTTTCTTTGGCTTTCTCACAGCTCAATCTAGAAGCTTTCTCTCTGCTCTACGCTCCGCCGTCATCCATGGCTGAAAAGACCGACTTCGATTCTCGCTCCGGCCAGATCTCCAAAGGTACTGCAGTTTTTTTTTTCCGCATTCGTATTTAACACCACGCCTTCGCCTCCATTTCACCCATCGGTGCTTTGTACTCGCCTCTGTCGCTCGTAATTTTCAATGCTGTTCTCTGTAAAACCCTAGATTGGAACTCGTGTGTTCTCGCCTCGACTGTGGGGTTTTAGGGTTGGTTCCTCTTCGGATAACGGCGGTTGTTTCTGGTTATTAAAAAGCATAAAGACCTTTCTTTTACTCCGGCTTTATATTTATTTGGCTTCATTTTTATGATTGCTCAATCTCAGCGGGAATTGAGTTTTGTATTTCTTGCCGATATTAATTTCTGGTGTTATTGGAAAAAATCAAAATTCTTTTGATTGATTACTTTATTGACTATTCAAGTTAATGCCAATTCTTGCTCGGATAAAAATTGTTTCTTCCTCAAAATATAATTTCCTGTAAAATATTTGCATATTGCTCTTGAGCACTTCTGCATGTTGAATGTATTAATTATTTGAGTGGTTTTGCCAAATTTCTCATCATCTTTTGCTACATTATGTCTATTTTATATCAGTTGCTTTATGGATTTCATGATTTACATATTTTAGCATTATATTTAGCCTCACTATACTAATGGGGCATGATGTGCTTGTCATATTTAGATTTCCAGTAGAGCTTAATCCATTTTTTTTTCCTTCAAAATAAAAGGATGTCTTACATTCTGTCTTGTCTTTTTGGTTGGTTGTTCCTTGTCAATGACACTAAGAAATGCTTTTGGTAGATTAACTCACTGGTTTTCTTTCATTTATTTAGATGTGCAAGGATCCGACATTCCTGTCCCACTTTCACCGCAGTGGCTTTTTCCCAAGTCTGGGGAGAATAAAACTGGGATAGCAACTGGGGTGTGTTATCAATTGCTTTTTCATTTCTTTTTATTATTAGTTCTCCTTGAACTATTTCTTTTCCTTGGTTCTTTTATAAAATATTTAAGACTTGTGAAAGTATCATTGGTTGAGTTACGAGTTTGTGCATGAATCAGATATTGTGCTTGTTTGTTGATGACTAAAATTGCAGGAAAACCATTTCAATCCACATTCAGTTCATCCAGGTGGGTCTGAACCCCCAAAATCACCAGGGATGGCTGAGGATGTTCATGATCACCAGAAGAAGAAGGAAGTCTTCAGGCCATCTGTGATGGATGCGGATTCTGCACGCCGTGACCGCTGGCGTGAAGAAGAAAGAGACACTAATTCCTCTATTCGCAGGGACCGCTGGAGGGAGGGGGATAAAGGGCTTGGTGATGGTCGCAAGGTGGACCGCTGGACTGAGTCAGCTGGAAGGCATTACGGAGAAGCACGCCGTGTTCCAGTGGAACGCTTCTCTGATTCGGGAAATAGGGAAAGCAGTCATGATCAGCGTCGAGAGAGCAAATGGAATACACGATGGGGCCCTGATAGTAAGGAGGTAGATGGTTTGCGTGAGAAATGGAGTGATTTTAGCAAAGATGATGACTTTCCCATAGAAAAAGGGCCATCTGGTCTTGCATATCATGGTAAGGATGAGAGAGAGGGAGACCACTACCGGCCTTGGAGGCCTAATTCGTCTCAAAGTCGAGGTAGGGTGGATCCTCCTCACCACCTAACCTTGACGCCAAACAAGCATGCTTTTACATCAAGCCATGGCCGGGGACGTGGAGAAAATGCTCCAACCTTTTCTCATGGTCGAGGAAGGATCCCCTCTGTAGGCAGCTCTATGAATGATGTTTCTTCTCATATTCAGTCACATAGTGTGCTCCCAGAGAAAGTTGAAAGTGGCCATGATGAGTCCTCTCCTTTTAGGTATAGCCGGACCAAATTGTTGAATGTATACAGGACAACTGATATGGGATCCTCTAGCAAATACTTAGAAGGGGTTTTGCAAATACCTTCACTCATGCAAGAGGAACCTCTTGCACCTCTAGCTATCTGTGCACTTAGTGCTGAAGAATTGGTAAGTTGTTGTGTTAGTTT